GAGGTGGAAGCAAATCTACTCTTCTACCTTTTTCCGCATTAACCGAGTCGGGTTCGCTAGTTCTCAGCTCTTTTGATCCTGTACAATGAAACATGCCCTCCTAAATTTTGTTATTTGGACGGCCATGTATATATCCCTTATTATGGCGCCTTTTGTTATTGAGGTTATTACACAATGGCGATCAAGAAGATCAACGTAGTACAATCATAATATTCTAATATTAATGAATTTCAAGCAAATATTATCTATTAGTTTGGAAATGTTATTAGTTAATTGTCGGTTGTTTGTAATTGTTTTAAATCTATATATATTATATATATCTATATATATCTATATATCTTAAACAGGCCTTCTGTTCTTAAAGTCTCATATAAACAAATTTGACCTGAATTTTAAAGGCTTCAAGCTTGATATTTTTTGGTTTCTCGTCATTGGACTTTAATATTGTTATATAGTTTTTACATTTAAATTTATAGAGAGTAAAGAACCTAATACCAAATGACTTAAAATTTATAATATGTTCTGTTCAAGAATTGGATGATTGCGTTATGTGGTTGTGAACATTGTAGAGGAAAGGTATATATAATTTATACAAATAACTTTTTAAATGTTTTGTGATTAAAAGATATCATTTAATATGTTTAGTAATTTTCTGGGACTCTCTTCCAATAGATACAAAGTTCTAAAATTGTACTTTTCATCACAACTAAAAAGAAAAATCAAATATTTTTTAAAACGTTTAAATAAGCACTGTAAAGTTGAATTTCAGTTTTTAGGGTCATAGTATCAAATACTGTTATAATGGTATTTGTATGCTATATTAATAATCACCATACCAAGTTTTGTCTGTTAATTGATTTTTCTATTTATTTTTGATAATCGTACTAAAAATGGTTTTTTATGTTTATTTCAGGTGATGCTAAAAAACAAATTCTAAAAGAAATGGTAACGATATTCAAGTCATCCGTATGGTCGTCAACAAGATAGAAGGCGACTTGAAAATTGTAAATTTAATTAATGTTAGATGTTACAATGTTATTTGTATGCTATATTAATAATCACCGTATCAAGTTTTGTCTGTTTAATTGATTTTTTCTATTTATTTTTTGATAATCGTACTATAAATGATTTTTTATGTTTATTTTAGGTAATGGTAAAAAAACAAATCCTAAAAGAGATCCTACACAATATTCAAATCATCAACATGATAGAAGGCGACTGAAAATTGTAGGTTTTAATTAATGTAAGATGTTACAATGTTATTTGTATGCTATAGTAATAATCACCGTATCAAGTTTTGTCTGTTAATTGATTTTTTCTATTTATTTTTTGATAATCGTACTAAAAATGATTTTTTATGTTTATTTCAGGTAATGGTAAAAAAACAAATCCTAAAAGAGATCCTACACAATATTCAAATCATCAACATGATAGAAGGCGACTTGAAAATTGTAGGTTTTAATTAATGTTAAGTTGAAAATAATTTATCTAATAAAATTGTATTTTCAGATAATATGGATGCTCTGATAAAATTTTTAAAAGTCAGCAAGACAGCCATGTCAGGCTGTTGGAGTACCAGGCCCGCCTCCTTATGGAATGTATGAGAAAATAAAGAATTTACATAAAATATGTTTTTTCTTTTTTCTCAAATATGTTTCTGTCAGGTACTTGTAAATTATTTTGAACAGAAATGATTTTCATTATTTTTTCTCTAAAATTGGCTATTTTTGAGTTATAAGCGATTCAAGGTTTAAGAAGTCTCAAGTTTAATGCTCGAAAAGTTCCATTAGTTACATTTTTTGAATTCGTCGAGTGTTAAAATTAATGTTTAAATTTTGGTTTATATGATGAGTATGCGATATCAAATTTGGTGAACTCTTGTTTTTCACAGACAGTACATTAATCATCAAATAGCACTCGACCTTCAAGGTTCTTTAATAAATGTGACTAAAATTCACAGAATAAAGTATGACTGTATCCTGATAAGATTTGAATTTTCATTTTTTATTTAGTGAACTCTTACATTCTAAAAGTAGCTGATTGATGAATTTTTGCTAAACTGAAAGTATAGTAACCATAAAGGATAAATGAAATAAAAAAATAGCATACAGTTATATATGTTTATTGTTATAAAAATACAGTTCATCAGATTTTATAGCTAACAATTGATATGTACAACTGAAAAATTGATGTACAATTATAAGGTATCTATTATTGAGAATTTATAGTTTAACAGATTTCAGTGCTAACAATTGATGTTTTCGAATGAAACACCAGGTAAGATGTATCTCATACTGTTGACAGCAGTATAGTTAAATGCTTCCAACGCTTAAAAAATACAATTGGGGCATTATAGAAATCAATTTACATACTATACATACATATTACAATAACAAAATTTAATAGACAATAAAGCAAAATCAAAATAATATAACATTCCAAGAAAAAAAATTAAAACATCTTTTCTTTTTTGAGAAATTGATAGGTAGAAATATAGGTAAATATAAAATAAATATAGTTTGCTTGTGTTTGTCTGATCAAGAAACAATTAACCATGGACAACTGCTATGTAACTTCCAATTGAGCACTAATGTGAAATTGGTAATTAATTTTAGCAGTCCATATTTTCTATACCAACTGTTAACTTTTAGATAATTGCAAAGAATTTTAAATTTCAATAACTTATCGTATCATATCATTATTTCGTCTTTTTCATCTAGTCAGAAAAATGACACAATTTAAATATGTAGGAAAAGTGTTCGTTCGTTAATAAGTTGTTGTTAGCCCCATCTTTGTAAGGGCTATTGAAAATCACAGAAGTAGATATCGTTCAAAAATGAGTGAATTTTTTTCTTGTGTTAGTAGCTGTAAGGGTTTGTATTATTTTCTTTGGATCTGTCATACAGAGTTGTTCATTCCTTTAACACGTTCGCTACCACGGGTTAAAATTGTGTATGTCGCCACAGACTAACTTCTTATATTGCGATATTATTATTTATAAACCGAGTTTCACGTACATATTAATGATTATAAGCTAAGAATACACTTTCTGAGAAATTTCGGAGCATTTTTGATCTGACTCATATATGAGACGCCGGTCTATGACACGACCTAGCTTGTGATCGAGCGAAGAATAAACCAAGTGTCTCATATATGAGACATCGCAAAAGAGTATATATGCAAAGTACAAAATATATTTGTATCAAAATACAAAGAGAGTAATTCTAAATATCAAAAAACATAACAGAAACAATCAAATCCTTTGGTGAAAAACATAGGACCAAAAAACACTCGAGAAGATAGTTAGAGCCTTCGTGGTATTCCTGGAAACAATTGTCCACGCAAAGGCCAATCATTTGTCCGTCTTTATCCTTACAAATCTCACAAACGTAAAAAGTCTGTGATTTCTTTTTGTTTGCCGAGCATACTCTACATCTTCTCCGTTTGTCCTGTTTTTTGGATAATGCTGGTTCCCTGGGGTAGTTTTGGCTTTTCCTGGGCTTGTTTCAGGAACTCAATTACAATAATCTCTCTAAACTGAAGAAATGACAGCCTTTTTCGATTTAATTTGTTGTACAAATGTGTTGCATTCCATAGGCATATGTCCACGAAATGGAAAAACACTTTCAGGTACCACCTGACAGTTTTCCTGGGAGTAGTGTAATAGGATAACATCTGGTCATTCCTGTCAACTCCAAACTGTCATTTGTCAAAAATCAAGCCGCTTTTCCATAAAACATAAATCAATTTCAAGCGGATAACCAAATGGAAATGGTATTTACCATTTTGGGTTGGTATTTACCGATCGGTTCAACCGAGTGTGATTATCAATTTGGTTATAAGATCCGTGACGTCACGAATCAGCTGTTATATGTTATTGTTATCACCGCAAAATTGTGGTATTTACCCAACTCAAGAGTAGTTTTATATTTCTGGTTATTATTTGAAATGTGACAAGTTGGAATTTTGCCAGGTATTGGATATTGTTATTGTACTTCAGCTTGATTTTTGAGGAAAATGATACAGTCTGACTTCAGTTTTACCATAAAGTGGAGCACCTTATTAGTTATACTCATTACGGTTGTTGGGGACACTAAATGTAGTTCCTATGCTTAACAAAGAATCCTGTGTAGCCATATACCACAAGAATATTAAAATATGGCCATATAAACTCACTACATGATATCCACCTGTATACGGTTTTGCTAATTTCTTTTTTCATCATTTCTGCTGAATCAATAAATGTTTTCTTTGACATGCGGAAAAATTAAGAGGCCATGGTTCCATCATTAAAAAAAAAATCTGAAAAAACATTTCTTTCATGAATATTATGAAAGGTTTCTTATTTAAACTTTCCATATACAGTTGTAGACGAAAAAGCACCGATTATTAAGTGATAATAAAAATAATCAGAGATTATATACGCGCTTTTCTAAAATAAACAAATTGCAACAAAACCGCGGTTAAAACCAACGCGTTCAAGCGATTCGTGTAACTGACGTCATCAACCCATGTGTCATCTTGAACCATATTATAACCGCGGCACATAACACAGAAATTATGGTTATTCGCTTGGATTTGATTATGTACACTGAAGAAGATTTAATTCCATGCTATTCAATGTCAACACGCAACACGGTGACTTGTGTGGTTGTCAGCGGTCATTTTTTGAGGGTGCAACACGGTTACTAGATTGTGCATTAATACCTCGCAACGTTGCCAGCTCCACGAATAAATCTGAGATTGCTATACTTTTTTATATAGAAATTTAGTGGTATATAGGAGACCTAACAGAATGTGGTATTAATATTTTGCGCTATTTTGACGAATAAGTGCTTTTTTGTATATTAAAATAGCAACGTCAATAATACAAGCTGTTATAATCTCACTCATATCTAGTTACCAATCTGGAAAGGTTCAGAAGAAAAACATACTGCATCTCTGTTATCTGAAATCATCTGTTATCTTTTATCTGTTACCACCTGTTACCTGTTATCCGTTACCACCTGTTACATGTTTTCTGTTATCTTCCATATAGCATTGAGAATATCCTGAATAAAATTGTGTAACAGACTCAGATTTATGTGAGATGTCGGCAACGTCGCATGTGTTGTTGTTAATACTGTACATGACGGTATAAAATCTTCTATGTAGCATTAATGCTCTCTATAAAATTGTATCACAGACTTAGATTTATATGAGGAGCCAGCAACGTCACGTATGTTTGGCAATCATGTGATGTGAAAAAAATGACGCTAGACGCTGACATAAATCTGCCGTGTCTATGGATAGCACTGGACTATACTGTCTTCAGTGTATTATCAAATCCAAGCGAATAACCAAAATTTCTGTGTTATGTGCCGCGGTTATAATATGGTTCAAGATGACACACGGGTTGATGACGTCAGTTACACGATCGCTTGAACGCGTTGGTTTTAACCGCGGTTTTGTTGCAAGTTGTTTATTTTAGAAAAGCGCGTATATAATCTCTGATTATTTTTATTATCACTTCATAATCGGTGCTTTTTCGTCTATAACAGCTAATTCGTGACGTCACGGATCTTATAACCAAACTGATAACTACACTCGGTTGAACGGATTGGTAAACACCAACCCAAAATGGTAAATACCATTTCCATTTGGTTATCCGCTTGAATTTGATTCATATGTTTTCTGTTTTGTAATGTCAATGTCATTGTCATAGGTAATTTTTTCTAACCTGGAAAATAAAATGTAATACTGTTTTCTTTAAAATTAAAATTCAATAATTCCCTATTGTGATAATGAACATAATGAAAAGAAAAATTAAGATTCTGAAAGTTAATTCCTAAATATCATAGTAAGGAAATCCGTAAAACTATCAAAAAAGTAAACAATAAACACCTTGAGAAAACTTCTTCCTTTTCAAGTGGTTAAAGTGGAGTTTAAAAAAAATGTTTGTTGAAAATAAGGTCGTTAGTTTACAAGCAGGTATGTAACTAAGCGATCCGCTAATGTGTGGGTATCTTGCTTATGAAAAATGCTGTATTTAGATATCATTGCTATTCATATAAGCTACCGTTCTTTGATAGGATATTTTCAAATTGAACTTTTGTCTTATTGTTACTATTTATTACAGAAAATGGTGCAATGCTGGACACCCGACTGTAAGCAGTATAATGTTAGAGAAACACGTAAGATGTTCAGGTTTCCCAAAGATCCAAAAACAAGGAATCATTGGATAAAACTTACAAGGTAACACCATAAAGACCATACTGGAATTATCATTTGTTAGGAACATGCGAAACGTACAATTGAATACAATAAAAGTAATACATGTATTGTTTCATTTGATTGCAGGAAAACAGTTGAACCAGGTCTTGGTGCATACCTATGTAGTTGTCATTTTGTTGATGTGTAAAAAAGAAAATGGACCTACACTGTTTAGGTATAATAGGGAGAAGCAATTAAACTTTCCATCACCAGAAAGAAGAACCCGTAAAAAGACCATTGATAAACCTTTTAATATTGATGTAGATATAAGGTTAGTCCTACAATATCAATTTCATTCACATATGTGCAAATTCAGTGTGTTCACAGATCTGAAAGCGAGCCACAACCATCCA